AGCCTTTAGAGTGGCAGGAGTGCAGCTCTGGCAGTTTACACCAGTTGAGAAACTCCTTGTCAGTCAGTGAGTCTTTGAGACAGCACATATTTTCATCAGGTGCCAGGAAGATTGGAAGAGGCAGGGCTTCAACACCTAATGGCCAAGAAGTGTCCAGAGATACTGACAGATCATCGCACCGCACCCAAATTGCTTTGAAATGTCCTCAGGAATATCTCAACCTGCACGTGTGTGTGTATATATATAGTAACAAAATGAATGTAGTCCTCTACATCGTAGCTTAGAGCAATTCCGATCCTTTATTTGGAAAAAAAAGAAACGGGGTTGAGTGTTTCACTAATTTCAGTTGTGATATTACCTAAAAACTTCTTTGAAATGTGAGGGACTCTGGGAATGTGGACTCCCACCTGTGCCTCTCTTAGCCTCCACTGGAAGTCACAGATGAAAGGAACCACATTCTCATCAGGACTTTCAGGTGTGTGGGTGTTTCCAGGAATCAACAATATCAACTAACCACACAGAACAACCAGGAAGCTGCTTCTGAAGCAGCCCCTTACTTCAGCGAAGCTTACTATACTGTGTCACCATCCCATTTCCTTACAGCACAGGGCAGTCAGAACTCGTTTTGTAGGACTGAAAAGATAGGAAATGACCGCAGCAAAATATCCTGAAGAGCTGAAGTTGAAATGTTAGGAGGATTGGGGAGAGGTGCAGGACTGGAATAGCAGGGGCACTTCAGGGCAGAAGTGAGTGGTATGGGTAGAGGTGCATGGGGAGCCCAGTGCTGGAGGAGCAGGGGAGACTGCAGGAGTTGGCAGAGGTCTGTGTAGGAGGAGGGAGCACTGCATCTGCCCACACACAAAAAAGGGCTTTACCCAATGCTTTTGCTTTCGTTTTCATGACCATGAACAGCACAACCCCAGCATGTTCATTTCTTTCTTTCCACAGTGGGAAAAGAAGGTCCTGATAAACTTTTCACATTTGAAAACAAGAAATAATGTTAAGGCTATGATGCAAAGCATCCACAAACAGGAAATGCACTGCTAAGTACAACTGTCCCAACTCTATCACCCCTGGCAGGGGAGTGAAAGGTTCTTTCAGTATTGGGTGTATTGTGGGAGTGACTCACTGTACAAGGCATTGGGGTGTACGTACAGCCTCCTTGCCAAATTCCTAGGCAAAACCTGCATTTCACTGATGGGGTGGTATGTGGGCTCTGTGCCATGGAACAGATGTGGCAATAGCACAGGAACAACTCCAGTGAGTGATGACTCTTCACACGTTCATCCTGCTTGTAGACATGACTCGTCCCTGGGTTTTGAGGCTCAAGATATGGAAGACAACAGTGAGCCAGATGCTCAGTAGGAATAAGTGAGGATAGCTCTGCTGAAGTCAATGGTGTGAGGGCACCATTGGCGACGCATAGGGGGTGCATACAGGTGCATGTGCACGCCCTGAGTGTGGCAGTGCACCCCCTGCAAAAAGGCGCTGCCAACAGTGCTGATGGTGCCTGCGGGTGGCCACCACGCGCCCCCCTGCCAACACCGCCAGCAGTGTCTGTGGGTGGTCGCCAACCACTGGTCAGCGCTCACCACCCACCCCACTGCTGACAACACCGTGGCTGCCTGCAGGAGCTCCACACTTACTGCCGCCACACTCCTACCGTTGCCAGTGCCACCACTTCCTGCTGGAGCTGTCCATGCCCCGCCAGTCGCCAGGGATACACGGTATTCATGGAGGGCACTTCACTTCAGGTGAGGATTTAGCCAGCTGCTGTTCATGGCATATTCAGAAATACTGTTACTCACAGGAGCTTACTTTCCACCTACACCCCGAGAGCTGAAACCCAGCTTCACATCTCTCACATTGCAGTAGCTCCCACATTTCACTAACGAGTTAATAGAATAAGTTCTGCTGTCAGTCAGGACTTAACACTGAGCAAAACCACTTCAATCAAGCAGATCAGAGACTGTGCATGGGCCAAATAATATCTGATAAAATAATATCTGACGATGAAAAGACAATGGATCTTATAACCACGATAAAAACCACAGGATAGAGCCCAGACTTCTGCTACCAGAACAGATGAGTTGGAAAGGGCTGAGGTAGCAGCACGTAACAATTCTGTTGCCTAGCCAGCAGCTCTTTCCATTGGGAGCCTTTCTTTCTTGAGGGGACTCTTTGCTGCCGTGCCAGGGTAGAAATGTGCAAACTGACACGTCTCTTCTGGTGTAGTCTTAAGCCTCACAGCACTATAGGGCACATAGGATTGCAGGGGAGCCAAAGCTGTCCTGCTATCTGAAGAAATGCTATGAAAGGGAACATTGCTCTGTTACCTTGAAGAGGCATGTGTTATATAAAACAGAGGCACCTGGAACAGACCCTGAATGAAATAGTTCCCTGTCAAGCAACTTGCCTCAGAGTGATTCCTGACCTCCATGGCTTCCCTTGCCCTTGGAAACTTCCCCTTCCTCTGGTCTCAATCTTTGTCACCTCTTCCAGTTCTTCTTCCCTCTCCAACTGCTTCTTTGTTTTCATCACAGGGGATCTTCCTCTTCCTTTCCACTGTCTTCCCTTCTCCATAACTTGTCCAACTAATCAAGCTCTATTTCCCTTTGCCCAACCTTAGAGATAATCATGTTATTTGTTCACATACATTACTGATTCCTTAATTAAATGTAACTGCTCAGAAAATCAGTGCCATGTCCTTAAGACATGGTGAAAACCTAAGATCAGGGCACAAAGGCAGATAAAAGGCAAGCCGCATGTTAAAATGTATACTGGGTGGAATAGAAAATCATTCTAAAACACTGGCATACCCTTCCAGGGAGTGCTGTGCTCAGTTTTTATTACCCTGAGATACAGCAGGGATACAAGGTCAGAGACAGGTGACGGAAATGGTCAGAAGCATTCTTTAATACTATATTGACATGAATATAATATGACCCAGAATATAAGACAATCCCCAATAATTAGAGCCCATATATGGAAAATTTCTAAATTTATCATAACTTTACAGGTAAAACTGGAATTGGGTGTTCTTGTCATGTGTCTTTGGGTCCTCCAAAATTTATATGCAGATGAGGCACAGGGCAACTTGGTCTGGCTCCACCTCATGGAGAGTGGAGCCACACTAGTCATATGCAACAGGCTGAGATAGAAGGTGACAGAGGGATTCTAGGTAAACTGTTTGGAGCCCTGTTTCTTGATGTCTGCCAGACTTTTAAGACTGGTAAAGAAACAGGAGTCTTTGGAAATGGGAAAGAAAGGCACAGCTCAGCCGTAGGAGTAAAGAAGAAGTCAAAAGTTATTGGTGGAGTGTCTCACTATGACTTGGAAAAAAAAAGTCAGTGCTGAGGGGGCCTGAGTGCAATAGGCCTTGCCATACTTCTTATTCAGAAAGGCTGCGCTAATCTATTCTTGCGGTAAGGTCCCATCAGTATGTTTGCCCAATATGGACCATGCGTCTTATAGTCATGCTCAGTGTTGGCTGTATTTAATCAGTTTCATTGTTAGTTTCTATTACTAAGCCCATGCTGCTTTTGGCAGCAGTTCAATGATAGACAATAGAGCTATCCTTGTATGCAAATATAAGATGAGAAGTTTTTTTCCCACGCTGACTGGTGAAAAAAATTCTTGTCTTATATGTGAGTAAATACAGTATATACTTTAATACAGCCTGTAAATGACCTGTGGAATTCATTGCTATGTGAAATTATGAAGGGCAATTGCTGAGGAGTCAAAGAGCATTAGACACTCATATGGATGCTGAAAATATTCATTGTAATGTTGGACAGAATAAAAAGAAGTGTTATACATTCCCATGCTTTTGACCATACTCTGCCTTTAACTAGGAGTTATTATTTCTTCTAGAAACATATTAATCCACAATGGTCCATTATGGAGTTTCTAGTACCTTCCCCTCAAATATTTCATAAAGGCGAATCTCAGCATGTTGGCCTAAGGGGCCATGGACTGTGGAGATCAGTGCTCACCCTCCCATTCAGTCTCTGACAGCTGGGATCCAATCCAGCCTGACTGGTCCTGTCCCCACCTCATCTTCCTTCAAGATGCCTTTAAATACTTTGGATGTGAGGTCTCCAAAATCAATTCCTGCTATCTGAGCAAGAAGTATTTGTCACAACCCAAAAGGTGTGATTTTTATTTGTGTGTGCTTCGGCACTGCTAAATTGTCCCCACTAAATTGCAAGATTCCTTGCACGGTGGAGTTTTCTGCTGCAAAAGAGAATCCCGGTGCAAGGGAGAATTTCCCGCCGATTTGGAGCTTTCTTTGCAGGGTGCATTTCTTTGTTGCAGCACAGAAATGCTCGTTGCAAAGAGTTCCCGCCATTTGTATGTAGATTTGGGTCCCATTATTGGCCAGTTCTAAATTATTCACACGTGGCGGCTAGTGATTGGCTTGCTAGCTGTATAAGAGGCTTGAGTGGTTTCCGCCCAAGTTGGAGGACTCCACGAACAAGGGAGGAGGAGACTTCACTCTGTGTGAAGATCTCTAAGCGCTGCGGATCCTCACGGACCCAGTGCATTTGAAGCAGGCTACGGAGATCTGATCAATCTCTAGCCTCTCCCCGTCGCCGATAGAATTCCTAGACGTACCCCACCCGCGCGCAAAAGAACCGGACCCACGGAGCCTAGCAAACTTTGTGTGAGTTGGTTCAGAGCTCTTCTGGACGAGTACTTTCTTCGGCTGACGCGACAGGCTCGCGTGTTCAGAGCCTTCAGCCGGATTGGGCTAGAGTTCACGAGTCTAGAACTCTTGTTCACCTCTTTCCTTTTTCTTCTCTGTAACTGCAACTGAAGCAAGCTTTCCAGCCTACACCACTGCCATCTCGGTGTAAGTAAACAATCTTTTAAACTACTGATACGCGTCCGTGCCTAATTCCAGAGCGAAAGCCACCCCTCTCCGCCCCCGCATGCCCGGGCTGCTGGCCACAGCCCACGTGCAGCGCGAAAAAGGTCTCGGGGCGCGCCCGGCCCGCACAGTATTAAAATAGCAACAGAAATTAAATAAAAACATCAAAACAAATAAACATGAGGCTAACAAAAGCCAGTTAGTGACGCACAAGACTGCAGCAATGCAGAGCAAGGTCTGACAACCTGCAAATGGCTAAATAGGCTGCACGTCCCCAGTTCCTTAGGTGACCTGAAGAGTTTCATTTCCTCGTGGGTCTGAGCAGAAGCAGGCAACACTGAATGTGATGTGAAGAGCAGTGAGGTACAGGAGAAGAAATTAGTCCTATAGTATAGCTCAAAGATGACAATCTGTCAGCAAGAGGGGCCAGAAATTGTGCTAATGGGGGAGAAATGGCTGCTAGTCCTCAAAGTCTGGATCGCTTGAGTCCAAAGCTAGATGAAAAACATGATAAATCCTTGTTTCTTCCTCATTGTTCAAATGGTCCTGGCAGTAGCCAAACAGTTCTTAAGGTGAAAATTGCTCAAAAAAATCATTAATGAGAAGGTCTGAGATTGTTAGTGCCTCTGGGAAAGATCTTCTCATCTGAAGTCTTGAGCGCTCTGCCAACACTGGATGAGGAATATGTCTTCCCAACATCCCAAGGTATAAATTTGATTGTGACCCAGGCTTGGAGACTCCCTTCTCTTTACCCCATGCTGAGCTCTGCCGTGGAGTTTATCTTCACACTTCAGCCTTGTGAGGAGAGCCAATAAACGGAAGGCAGAGCTGTTCAATCTGTTTCCTCAGTGTATGCGTTCGCTCTCAGCACAGGAAGCCCAGTGCGGTGAAGAGACAGGAGGAGGAACTTCTCCTGAGCTAATCAGTCAGGAGCACCCAGGGTCCGGGCAGAGCAGTGGGGAGGTGGATGAGGGAACAGAGGCACTGCCTGGGAAGGACAAGCTGCACAGAGGGAAGCTTCTGGGATCGCAGCTAGGCTTCCAGAGGATGGATGGCATGAAAGAGCTGCATCAGCCCTGAAAAGCAAGAGCTGCCATGCATTTGGTTGGGAAGTGGTGTTGTGCCTTCCTGCTTCTCACCATCATCACGTCCATGGTGATGCTGGGTGAGTCTGATTGCTCTTGGGAGCTGTGTTGCTGTGAGGGGTGGAGGGGATGGGAACGCATGAGGGCAGTTTTTTCCATCACTGTCATCCCACTTTTGTGGCTCTCAGTAAAAGATGATGCAGACCATGCAGTAGCAGCAGCATTTCTGACCTGTTCTTCTTCCATCCTGCTGCCTGTGATAACAGGCCTATGGTCAAAAGCGATCTGCCACAATAATAGTGGCTCTTGCGGTTCCCATCAAAGAAGCTGATTTATTTAGCAAGCCAGGGAGAATGTAGAGGAAGGGTCTGTGAACTTAGATGTTTAGCTGGGGGGCTGTTCAGAGTTTTATGCTGAAGGATGGAGTAATTCCCATGGGGTAGGGCTGATGTCTTATGTTTTCTTCTGGGCACAGGTGGGAGACCCATATGGGCAGTGGGAAGCAATTCCTGGAGGGCTGGTGGAAGCTGTTACCATCTGGAGCATCTATGTTGATTTTGACCTAAAACTTCTCAGCTGACAATAACAGGCCACCCAACACTGAGCTCCCTAACCATTTAGGGCCACAGTCTTACATGTATTAGACCAGAGCTCTTTCCTTGTAATAAGTACAAGTTATCGGCTGTGAGAGATCATGGGTCTAACGTACCCAGCTGGTCAAACACAGACTCCAAAGTTGGGTCTTGCTTCTCTAGCCCTGTCAAGGTCAAAAGACTTCCCACGTGCCATTTAACTCAACCTCAGCAACCCAGTGAGGTTGACCCCATTTTGCAAGCCCAGAGAAGAGCTTGGTAACTTGGTCCATGTCACACAGTGAGCTCATTTATGTACTTGTTAGATTCATACGCTGCCCTTCCCACATATCAGTGTCAGGGACAAGGTCCCTGGGTAGAACTGGTCAGAAAGTAAGGATTTTTTTTCTCTCTTTTTCTGTTTAAATGCACAATCTTGACCAAAGTGTAAGAAAACCACATTTGGTGACATTCTTACAGAGTAGCTGGACTTTTTGTTGAAAGATCAAAAATGCCAAAACAAATTGCTTCCAGCTGCATGCAGAAAGATTTTCATCTGCAATAAATTCTTTTTATGTTTTGCCTTTTAATGCAAAGGCAACCTTTTCTGTGGAGGTAGGTTTTCCGTCCAATTCCTTTTTTCCACTGAAAAAATCCTCCAATGAAAATTTTCTTTCCTGCCTTATTCTCAAATGCATAACCCACCACACCGAGCTGCGCCCAGTGTGGAAGGGTAGGGGCAGGGGTCTACTCTGGGCTGTTTATCTTTGGAATCCATGAGCTCAGTGGACCACCCAGATCCAGCACATGTGCACCTATCCCAGCTACTTCTGCCCCTAGGGAGCTCCAGGGTCATAGGATGCCCAGAGAGAATGAAGGTCAAAAGGAGGGGCTGCAAATACAGGTTTCCCTCAATTTATGCAGGTTCAGTATATGCAAATTTGCTCTTATGCGATGACCCTTTTTATACCCCAAATTCATTATATGCGAGGTATATTCACTCTTAAACGATTGGCATAGGTGTGCTCCACCTTTCCCCAAGCAGGTAAGTCTGTGGGGGACGGGAAAGGGCCATGGGGCTGGGGCCCCACTCACCCCAGCCCCTGCTGCAGCTGCTCTGGGAGCCTGCGCGCGTGGCGGGGGGGGTGGCCGATGCCAGCCGCCTGCAGCTGCTGGGCTGCACCATGCCCTAAACCCCCTCTAGCCCTCTGCTTGTCCCCACTCGCCCCAGCCCCTGGGCTGCGCCGTGCTGTGGTGCAGGCAGGTGGTGTTGGCTGCTCCTGGGTTTCCTGCATCAGTGGGGAGAAGTGGAACCCTGGAGTGTGGCACAGTTTGCCTCCACTCACCCCAGCCCCTGCTGCAGCAGCCCCAGGAGTGGCCGATGCCAGCTGTCTATAGCTGCTGGGCTGCATTGTGCCCCAAACCCCCCAGGGCTCTACTTTTCCCCACAGGCAGGTGGTGTTGGCCACTCCCATGGCAGCTGCAGGAAGAGGCCTGGGGGGCATGGGGCGCAGTGAGTTTTGGGGTGGCAGCAGCCCCCTTCCCATTGCTGTGGCCTGCCCCCAGTGCCGGGAAGAACCTGGTGCCACTGCCGGCCCCAGCCTGTAGTGGCAGCCTGCTGTCATCCTGTGCACAGATCCAGGTGCACAGTGCAGCCCCCCAGCCCTCCTGGGGTCTCTGTAGCAGCAAGAGCCGCACCCCACCATCCCGCACCCCGCACCCACTGACAGTTCCCTCTGCTTTGCTCCCTGCTGCAGCCCCAGGAGCAGTGGATGGGCTGCGCTGCACCCCTCCCCCACCTCCCCTTCCCTAATCCCAGCCTTACTCCCTTCCTCCCTCACAGCCACAGGAATGTATCCCTATTTGTTACTTTATAAACTGGGTTCCCTTTATGCAAATTTGATTTATGTGCAGTTTTCCGGGAACACGCATGTACCACATAAAGTGAGGGAAGCCTGTATTAATTTAGCATATTTTAAATTGGTGCATGGCACAGGCTCAACCAACCTTATCTTCCTTTGCATTTGTCTTAACATTTCCCAGTGTCACCAGGACAGCTCTGCTAGAGTTAGCAATAGCAGAAGCACTAGCTTAGATGCAGCAGGCCATTTAACCACCATGGTGTCTACGTCTCCCCACAAGCACTACGGGATGACGCATTATACAAAGTGCTGGTGGCTGATCTAAAATAGGGATCCAACTGGTTAATCCACTGAGCTGTAACAGGGGGAAATGTTAAAGCATATGCCAGTATAGAAGCTGCCTCAGTGACATCTCTTACTGCATGAAGTGTGGGGGTGGAGGCACCCCAAATGTTTGCACATGCACCTCCTGGAAAGAGTAAGCATGGAGGGGAAGTGCCCCATGTAGGGTATTGTAGATTTATGTAGCAAGTTTCTCTTTTTGTTGGAAAAGACCTTGCCAAACTAGACCTTGCCGGTGGTCCCTCTGGAGGACTCTCCCACCTGGCAGGGGCCAAAACCAGCTGGTCTGGAGGAAACTGCAAGAAAATCTATCAGTGGTAGTCATGGAGAGCAAGTCACGCTCATGCTCCTGCAGTTTTGCAGACAGAAGGTACTCAAAGCAGTGTAGACCTGGAGTAACATGGAGATGAATGAAGCTCCTGGAGTAGACTGCCTGCTGTGGAAATGTATTTGTGTCCACAGCTCCTGCCTGTACCCAACTCCTCTCTGCAATCTTCTCTCCTTAACACAGGCAGTGAATTCTCATTCCCCCAAGTTTGCCAATAAGACACTGTGGGAAAAGATTTTGCTAAACCTGCCTCTGTCTTCATTGCACTCCTGCACTAGTTCCTGCGCTTCTCCTGACTGGGCTGGACTGCTGGCTTTGGTCACATTGATAACACAAACACTAACAGCGAGGAAGTCAGACAATGGCTTTTCCTAGGCCATCATTTAATCTGTGTTCTGTAGTATTCTGTCAGCAAAGACTTATTCAGGTGATTCCCTACTCTCACAGATATATTCTTTACAGGAAGATCATGGTTTAGAACTTCAGCGTTCACATTTACATTGCCTGGACCAAGGCCCGCTGTGCTTCAGTGAGTCAAGTTTTGAAACCCCAGAGGCAGAGAGCTTAGAAAATAGCATGCTGACCACAGCACACGATCTATTCAATGATGCACACACAGATAAACATGCTTTTGAAACTGATAGCTCCTTTGTCTTCTTCTTCGTCTTCTTTGGAAGCTCTGAGCATTCAGAAATTCCAGAAATATGTGATGGCAGCAGTCTTGGCATGTTTCTAGACAGTAGCATTATCACTGAGCGTATTTACTAAGAACATAGACAAAGGGAATATTATGGACAATAAAACAATTGTGACTGATATTTTAATTGCACAGAAGTAGGTCACAAAGCACCATGGTTATCATAGCAACACTTGCTCTCTTGAAAACGTGAAACACAAAGGAGTCTTTCTTTACATGGTGATTGAATCTACTGCATCTAGTCAGACTTACCACCCTCTACATTTGCATCTCAGTTTCCAGTAGAAGGTGGCACTTTAACAGAAGTAAACAGGACAAAATCCATGTTACTCCTCTTTGTGGGGGGCAGAACTAAAACTCTGGTTCAGAATGCAAGGGATAATAAAAAATGTTCCTTATCTGCTTCTCCAGTCAAAAAGACTGAAGCTCTTTATAGTCTGCTCTGCTGTAAGTTGCTTTTATGCTACCTGAGGATTCTCCTCGGCAGGAGGAAAGACTCGCTTGTCTGCTTTAGGACCCTTTCTACCACTGGAGCTCTGGAGCTGTCAGTCTGATCTTCTGGATGTTTGTCTGATGAAAATGTCAGCCTTGGTGGATATTTTGTTTTTTCCTTATAAAATAAAAAGCCAGAATCATTTGAAGTAGAAATTTCAAGTAGCATTCATGCAGCATACCCAGAGAGTACTGCCTCCATGTACGTGGCCAGATCCAGAAATGAATGGAATAGTTTTATTTTTAAAGCTTTGCAGATTGATTTAATCTCTGGATGGAGGGCAAACATGAGAGATTTCAGCCTTAAAAAGCATTGTCTCATAACGGTGCAAGACAACGAAAGCTAGGGCTGTGAGAAATGGCTGTGTCAGGCAGAACAAAAATAGGAACTGTCATGATGAGATTCACCAGCATGAGGGGAGTGGGTCAGCAAGAAAGGAGTTTGCATTCTGTGGACAGCATTTTGGGGTAGTTAATTTTCCCCTCCTGCACAAAGCCTGGTTAGAAGCAGTGTTAGTGCAACAGTAAAAGCAAACACTCATATCACACAGCTTTATGCAGGCAGAATATGAAAGGCAGCTAAGCAAGTGAACATCACCTCACATCTTACAAACTGTCAATGTGCTTGGTTTGCGGCCAGAGCTTCAGCTGATGCAAACAGAACTCTCTTGCTAAATTCAGCTGAGCAATGGTGATTTTCAGCAGTCATGCATCTGTCCATAAAAGTGACAGGTAAAACAATTCCAACACTTTTTCCCTGAAGATATACCTTGATTAAACACAGCCC